CCCCAACACCTACCTACCTACCTACCTACCTACCTACCTACCTACCTACCTACCTACCTACCTACCTACCTACCTACCTACCTACCATCACTACCAAATGAGTTAAACGTACTCCTAGCGCATGCTGTTACTGCGCGTATTGATGAATTCCTCCTGCCGCTTCTACTGTCAGCTCACCGCATCTACCATGATCATAATGACTTATGTGTCTGCGTTACCGGCAACAGCAACAACTAGTTTGTCAAGACTCTCCTCGTCATGTTGACTGTCATCCAAAGGGACTATATGAGTCAGAACCATGTGATGGATGCCCTAGGGCAGGGCAGGGCAGGGCAGGCTGTCTGTCGGATTTCAGGGTTGCTGGGGACGGGCTTAGAGCCGCAGCCTGACCAAAGCACAATGAGCATGAACCAGAGCATCATTCCTTAGGCTACTGACTCGGTCTGACGACTGATCCTGTAACCAATTTGCGAGAGCTTCACCACAAGCGGCTCCTGCTGCCAAGCCAGCATTCATGACGACGTTGTTCACGGGGATCTGTCTCACGATTTAAGTTTCGGGTGTGGGCTGTAGGACTTCAAGAGTTCAGGGCACTCAGTGCTCTATTCGGCCGGCGCTTCGGGTTTCTCTCCAGGCTTCTGAACTGATGGGTTGAGGAGCACAAAGTCACGCTGAAAGGTTGGGGGAACAGCTGCACCAAGATCTGACAGGCAACCACTGAACACGCTTCGGCATCTCAAAGAGACTCGTACCTCAACGAACGAACAACACATCGACAGCACACCTCACCGACAACATACTTGCTATGTCCAGAGAGAAGCTCCGTCTGAGGCCTCCGCTCTGAACCCACATTCATACTCATCCGATACGTGCCAAGCACGAGGCTGTACTACTCTTGCTTCGCAGCCCCTGTGTGCCGTATACAGTTTATGCCGCACTGAAACTGCAGAGCGGCCTCCTACTAAGCCAAGCAGACTCAAGCCCCACGGGAAGCGCGCCCGCAAACAGAACACTGCAATGTTGGGAAGCGACACCTGAATCATGCTCTTTACAGTATCGGATCATGTCCGCTCGAAGTCACAAGCTCCAAACTCTAAACTTTAAACCCTCAGGTCTTTGCGGGCCCGGCCCCCGGATCTGACAGAAGTGCAGCGCCCTGGCGCCACGGGGACTTCAGCGCAGAGACCACCTGTTTCCGTCCGGGGTGTGAGGTTCATGTAAAAGAAGGGATCCCGTTGTTTCTTGAGAGGTTTTGCTTCAAACAGGTCCAGAACATAACAGTCTTTTGTGTTTGTATAAGGACAAATGGCAGCATGCTTCAGGTGCCGGGGAATATTCAAGGGTTTCCGAAGGCCAAGGATTGAGAAGTCATTCTGATCATATGGCGGTTCGCCTGGGATGACTGATTCTCTGAAGTTCCCCTCGGCCAGCGCTCTACAACTGCATGCCACTTCCGCAGGTACATTGAACCATAATTGCCAATGTCGGGAATTGAGCACAAGGTACCGGCAAGAGTTAGACTTTCACATTCATGGCTGTACAGTGTGCCGTGCTTCGGTTTGGGTTGTCTTGACGAAGGTATTTTGGGGCATCATCATAGGGCTGCAAACACCAAGGTCCTAATCAACCCTGCTACGAAGCTCTAACCTCTCAGCGGCAACCGTAAACTTTCCATTCGGAACGCAACAGCCTAAATCGAAAGTGGTGCTTAGCCAAGCGCTGGCCACGAGCTCTGAAAGGGACCTGACTGGAGGATTACAGTCATTTTGTGGTAGGACAACCAGTCAAAGCCTCACAGAATCAGAAGCTCTAATCTTGCGAAATGAGGCGCTGTCCGGCAAGTCAGGGCCACGCCACAAGCGGTGTTTCGCCTCGTGAACGTTTCTGAACAGGCAGCTTGGTGGTCCCTGTGTAGTAGGATCATGCTACTATCTGGGACCCTGTTTTAGGGTGCCCTAATTGCTCTAAGCCCATGTGGGCAATCAACAACTCAAAAACCTAGCCCGACGAAAGAGACGACAACACGGACCAGGACAAGCGACGATGTTCTGCGTTGGTGTTCTTTCACAGGTCTCCGTGGTTCCACAAAACTGCGCATATCTCAGCAGACCGACGCAAGCGAAGGTGCTGGTTCCATGCAAGGAGGCCCCTGCAACGCTTGAAAAACATCCTGGTTTTAGCGCGAGTGATAACAGGAACAGCGAACAGTCCTCTAGAACCGATTCCCTTTAGGCCCTCAGGCCTTAAAAACACACCCAAAACGAAGATTAACACTGTGGCAAGCTGGGAATAAACCCCGATGGCAACATGTCTATGTCTATATTCATAGTCAAGCCAGAAGCTGCATGGCGCCGAAAGCTTCTCGCCACTTCGACTCCCGTGCACGCGCTGACCTGGGGGAGAAAGGGTGGCGAAGGCGTTTGGAGTTCGAGCGAGAGAGAGAGAGAGA